TTTTTTTTTTTTTTTTTGCCTTGAGTTCCCGCCCTGACTTCCTGTCACAATGATCTGTGATTGGGACGTGTAAGCGGAAGTAAACCCTTTCCTCCCCAGGTTGCTTTTGCTCATCAGTCTTTATCACAGCAATAGAAGCCTCATGGAGACAATGTGTGTATATACACAAGTGTGTATAGCACAACATCAGGCAAAGGTCAGAGGGCAGTCTCGGGTATCAGTCCTTGTCTGCTCTGTTGTCTGAGGTAGGAGGCTCTTGTTGTTCAGGTCTGTGACCCCCAAGCTTCTGGGGATTCTTCTGTCTCCATCTCTGATCTCTCCGTGGATGTGCAGAGATTACAGGTATGCACTACGGCACTGGGCTTTACGCTGGTTCCAGGCATCTGCCATCTTGTTCTCGCACCTGCGCGGCAAGCGCTCTACCCATTAAACCATCTCCCCAGCCTGATAATATGTTTAAATGAATGAATGAAGAGTTATCATTTCAAAATCTCTCAAATAACATAATAGACATCAACAGCTATAACCCATGAACAAATATTCTTCAGGGTCCTTGATGATTTTTTTTACATCAAATGTTCAAGCAATCCCGAGACCAAAAAGGTTGAGGATGAGAGATTTATGTAAATCTTCCCTACTGTATTTTCTTTCAGTCACTGGCCCTTGAGATAGTCGACTTCTGCCTTATTTTGTGGAATCATCGGTTGGTGTTTTTAGTGCACTAACATCTCATTGTGGTTATTGAAATGTACTGACTATACGAAGTACTCACCAGCCATGTACCTGTCTGGTCATAGAACTCTTCCATCAGCCCAGGAAGTCTGGGGCTGTCAGGAGCATTGCATACATCTTTCTGTTATATTCACTCAATGTGTTCTTAGAAGCCAAAGATTCTTCCAAAGTCCTCAAGGAAGAGGCCCTGTTTTACTTCGTTCGGGTATTTCTCGAGCTCTATTTGAACATAGTACTTTGTTTTCCACCCAGAACCCAATCTTCTTCTACGAAATGTACTTTGAAAAATGTCATCTTACCTGTTCCAACACTGTTATCTTTCCTATTCAGAACGGAGTGGCGTTACAGTCGCGTTCAGAATCTCTTTTGGCTGTCACTGGGTAGAAATAACAGTAAGTTATGGAAGCCTGTCTTCTTGATCTGAACTCTTCTATGTTGCTAGCTCCCAACTGCAATTTCCTTGTACTGCTATGTGTTCTAGTTCAAATTGCTTTTCTAGTTATTTCTGCCTTCTATCTATCTATCTATCTATCTATCTATCTATCTATCTATCTATCTATCTATCATCTCTATTTATCTATCATCTATCTATCATCTATCATCTCTATCATCTATCTATCATCTATCTATCATCTATCTATCATCTATCTATCTATCTATCTATCTATCTATCTATCTATCTATCTATCTATCATTTATCTGTTTATCATAAGGTTAGATACTTGAATTTCCTACACAGAGTCTTGAGAGACTGCCTTTGACAAGGGACCCCTATGACACTGAATAAACTCATCAAGGAGTCAGATACATAAGCATTACTTTTAAAGGTTATTTTCAGCTTCAGGACAGTTTTAGATCTAGGAACAAGTCACCAGAGTCGCGGGGAGTTCTTTAACCAACCACATCCACTTTCTCCCCGTTAGCAATCAATGCTGCGATTGGTCTGGGAGCTCTACTTTTATGACTTGGAGTGTAAAAACAACTATGTCCCTTTATTACTTTCTAAATTAAGATAACAATATCGACTGTGCTTTGCAAGACCATATATACTTCTACAGACCACCAGGAGAATCATCACTCCAGGCTTTTCTCAGTAAGGAGCCAAGGCCCTAAGTCAATCAATACACATGTATATACACCTCTCCCAGAGGGTGAGCAGCTGGGCCGTGAGCAGGCAGCACTGATTGGAGCTATTTGCTCCCAGTCAAGGCCACTGTGACCATTAACATTTATTGCCAATATAACAGAATCTACAATTACCAATGAGGCAAACCTTTGGGCGTGTCTGTGAGTTCATTAAGGTCAATAAGCCAACCCTAAATCTTGGTGGTTCTGGGTTCTGAATGAAATAAAAAAGGAGAAAGCCCTGAGCACCAGCAGGAACCATCTCTCCCCCTTCACCACTGCATCCAAGCGGCGCCATCATGACTTTGCACCCACAAACTGTGAGCAAAAAGCAAACCCTTCCTTACGTTTCTTTTGCTGGGTGTTTTGACGCAGCAAGGGGGAAAAAAAAGGAACTAATGCAGGCAGGGGCCCAGAGAAATCAAAATACAGAGGGAAGGATCCAAGGGAAAAGTTGGTGACAAAAGATGAGTAAGTCGGCAGAAGTCTGGAAAAACTTAAAAGAACGGTAAAGAAAACTGTGTGGAGGAGTTAGAAGGACATTGAACTGGTGTGGGTGGGTTATGTATTCTTTATGAGAAATGACTTTATTGAAGTCATGTGAATATTGATTAATTTATATGCTGCTCTTCTTTCACAAGAGAAATTTATGAATATTTATATTTATGTTTATGAGTGCATCTATATTCTTGAAAGAGTGCAGCGAATCTTCCCCAGTGGTTACTCCTGGGAGAGGACCAGGGCCTGGGGACAGGGAGAGGATATGAAGGAAGGCCATCCTTAGCTCTAAGTTTCTCCAGTGCATCAAGTTATTACACAGCAAAATATAATTTTTAAAGCAAAAATGATATAAGCAAAATAAAATTGAGAAATACTGAAAAGCAAACATAAACGATATTTATAATCCTGTCTCCACTCCACTGGAAGGGTGGCATGAATTATTTTTTTCCCACTCCTCTATCTCTTCAGTTAAAGGTTTATTTATCTTCATTTTTATATGTATGGGTGTTTTGCCTGCATGTATGCCTGTACACCGTCTGTGTAGGCCAGAAAAGAGTGTCTCATCCCCTGAGGCTGGAGTTGGAGGCAGTTGTGAGCTAACATGCGGGGTCTGGGAATCAAACCTGGGTCTCCTGGAAAAGCAGCCGCTCTCTTGTATCCACTGATCCATCTCTCCAGCTCCCGCCCTCTCTCACACACAGGTCTAGGCATGTAAACGAGGTAGACAGTAATGTTGTTAGCTTGCTGGCCGCCCATATCCTCTGAACCTGAGTTTAGAGACTCCTCCGAGGTTCACACGTTCTTTTATCTGCTTCTACAGTCGTGGAAGCTTGCTTTGAGATGGGCCTGTGTCATCCGTGCGGGTCCTGGGGTAACCAGGAGATGTGCAGCAACTTGCTGGCCGGAGATAGACAGGCAGTGTGAAAATGAAAGGAACCCTGGTTGGAAGCAGGGGATGATTTCAGGACACGGCATAATTCAGAGTGTCCCAACTGACAAATCCGATAAATACCTTCCCGCTTGTTTTAGTAAACGGAATCAAAGTCTTGCTTCTCCCATTTTCCTTTGCTTCAGCAAATATAGATTTGAGACTTTTTTTTAATACTTACAAATTTTCACTAAAAACCCAAGAATAAAAGAAAACAATATTGACAAAATGCAACTCTCTGCTCCTCCTCAAAGACTGTGTTTTAGGCTACCCCACCGTGAGCTCTTTGGTCGCTTCCTTCCAGGATGAACAGATGTGATGATGTTTGCCAGGGTCCTATTCCTGGTCTCTGCAGAGCTGCCGTCAGGTCTGTACTCCATAGCTCCGGTTTCTGTACACTGTTGTAGAGATTGATCCCTGCTCCCCTCACCCCCATCCCCCCACACAAACCCTGTGCCACACTGACTGTGACCATGAGGCCAGAGCTGTCGCTCATCACTGCCACAGCCAGAATGAGGAGCACAGCGTCCCGGGACCTCACCGACTTGAATATTGCATGACTGTATGAATGCAAGCATGAATGCGGATTCATAGACGTGCGGATGAATGAGCCAGCAAATAATAGTAAGGGGACATTAGGATGTCTTGTATTTCCCCTCTCTGCGATCTGAAAAGGAGTACTCTTCTGCCTCCAGGTAATTAAACTTCACACCTAAAGAAGTAGTTTGTCTGCAAAGTGTGGGCGCTTGTACAGTAGTAGAGTATTGATCACTTGCAATAAGCTGCCATGGTTTGGGAATCGTCTGTGCTGTAAGGGATTCTCTGCCGGAAGGCAATACCTATCCCGAGGTGTCAAGAGGGTAGGGATGTAATTCACTCTGGACTTTAGAGAGAGGGCTTTTGCAAAGTGATAACATTAGATAATTGCTACCAAGGCAAAGGCTTCCAGATTGAATATGGATGGCCTTAAAAATGAAGGGGAAAGTGTGTGTGTGTGGAGGGGGGGAATCAGTTCAAAGCTAGCCAAGATACATAGTGAGTTCCAGCTCAGTATTTTGATAACTTTTCTATTGCTGTGAGAAAACACCATGACCAAGGCAACTTATGAAAGAAAGCATTTCATTTGAAGCTTATGGTTCCAGAGGGATATGGTTCATATCCTGTGACCGTCATGGTAGGAAGCACGGTAGCAGGCAGGCAGGCAGGCAGGCAGGCAGGCACGGTACTGGAGCAGTAGCCAAGAGCTCACATCTTGACATATAACCTTGAGGCAGAGAGAGCTCACTGAAATGTCATGGGCTTTTGAAACCTCAGAGCACACTCCCAGTGACAAAGCTCCTCCAATGAAGCCACACCCCCTAATCCTTCCCGAACAGTTCCTTCCACTGGAACCAAGTGTTCAAACAAACGAGCCTATGGGGGCCATTCTCAGTCAAACCACCGTCTTCCACTTGCTGGCCTCCATAGTCTTGTAGCCATATCTGGGTGCAAAATGCATGTATTCCAACTTCAGAAGTCTCCGTAGTCTTATACAGGTTTAACACTGTCTCAAAAGTCTCTTCTGAGACTCAAGGACATCTCTTCACTGGAACCCTCTGTAAAACCAAGCTCAAAAAGCGGAATACATACGGTGGCACAGAAGATGCATTACCATTTCATACTGGGGCATGCTGGGGAATGCTGGACCAAAGCCAGCCCCAAACTGAGTAAGGCCAGCTCTACAGCCTTGTTGCCGGATATCTGATCACACCGTGGGCTCCGAGATTGCGTTATTTACCTAGAAAATATCTGTTTCTAGTTGGGGTGTGACTCAGCCCTAGCACACAGCTGTAATCCAGGGAGCTTTCTGCTTACTGTGAACGGGATTAAGTACGCTCAGCCGTGGGTCAAGGGGCGGAGCCAGAAACCAGAAGACAGGAAATGAACATGGATGAGAAGGAGCCAAGAGGCTGGCTAGAGAGACTCACAGGAAGTAGAAGGGAGAGGCATACAGTTGGAGGCTCTCTGGTTGAAATGAAGAAAGAGAATCCCATAGAAAGCACGGAACTCCTGTTCACTGGGGCAAGCATTCGGGAAGTGGTTTTTGGAATATTTATTACACTTATCTAGATAGCATCTAGCAAGGCAGTTCGATTTCTGAGGCTTTATCTCCCAGCATGCATACGTAATGCATCTCTATAAGTGTACATAGATATTAGTGGCAGTAAGACCTCTACTAAAACTTGGAAACAACCCAAATGTCCATCAATGGGGAATCCAATGAATAACTATTTGCTAGATGCACTTAATGAGATTATGATATAGGATTTTTTTTTTAAAATTAAACCTCTTGTTGATTTGCATGCAAAGATAATAATTAAAATTATTTAGCGATGGAAGCCAAGTTACAGAACAGAGTATATACCATTAATCTCCATTCTAGGAAAAAGAGCTATAAGCGTAATGGGAAGACAAGAATATACTGCAAGTATAACAGCGGCTAGGTCTGCATCTTTGAGGACTGGGGGGGGGGGGGAAATGGGAGCATTTTCAAGCAAAAGGAACAGTCAGAGGCTGCTGTCTGGAGCATTTAGCTGTGCTTCCATTTGAGAAACCTATCCTAGATGTAAATGTATCCTTTGACGGAATCCAAATGACGAAAGAGGTAAGTCGAACAGAATACCAGGGGGTTCCAAATTCCAGCCACTTGCTCTCTGCGCCAGTTACAAATGCCTGGCATCGTGGGGGAGATTAAAGACGTGGTAGGCCGTGCTGGGTTAGTTTTCAATAGAGAAGAGAGGTGCAATGGCGTGCATTGTTCTTCGACTCTGCAGGCCACCTGGGATCCTCAGGCTGCACGGCCCACTTAGGGCTGGTCAGAATTCCTTCCCTGGAGCCACCCCTTGGTAAATGTTTCTATTTGGGCTGGTGATTCCATTCGTGAGTTGGATTGGTTTCATTTCTTTGATCCTCAAAGAAGCTCTTGGCTACACAAACTCTGAACCTTGCAGGGCTATGCCCGGGGATAAACCTTTTCCTGCCCACATTTTATGTTATGCCTGGAATCCTCCGGAGGTAACCATACTGAAGCTCTTTCAACATCACTAAGAAGCAATTGCTGCTTATGACTCAGCTCCGCACCCCACCTTACATGACGTCAAGGTCTCCGTTGTTTGTTCATTTGTATTTACCTTCAGATAGAAAATCAGTCTAAGCCGGCATCTGACCACATCACTGCCGAGCAGAAGCAAAGTTCACTGGATTGTTGCTGTGTGCCTTGTTGCCATGGTTCCCAGCGGAATCATCAAGTGCCTTTTTTTTTCTTTTGAAGACAGTGTTGTTATTTTAATTGTATGTGTTTGTGTGCGAGAGAGCGGTACATGCATGCTCAGGAAGGCAGAGATGCCCAGAGGTCAGGGGGATTGGATCTTCCTGGAGCTATAGGTAGGGGCAGTTGTGAATTACCTGACTTGCATGCTAAGAACCAGCTCTGGATTGTTTGCGGACCCCATTGATCACGCAGCTTGAAGCCAGCATTTACATTTTTTGTTTCTAGCTGAGTCCTTGACCAAGGGTGGGATGGCAGGAAAGAGGGGCGATTCTGTGTGGCTTTTGAGATCAGGCAGTCAGTTCGACAGCTGGGCTTATATAACCTTTAACTTCTAATTAGAAATTTTCAAAGTACCTGGCCCTCCCTAGGACGCCAATTTGCGGGAGAAATCTGCTTTCAGCTCCCCTGTGAGAAGTCAATGTGAAGGCATAGCCAACAAAAACAACAAAGCTCCGCTTTCTGAAGCAAGCTAGCCTCCACTGTTGACCCATTTTGAGGTTAATGTCCTAGCCCGACTTAAATTCAAACTCATTTATCTCGATTAATATACACTGTATATAGTTACCCCCCTTCTCTCTCAAACAAGCCCAACCCTTACCAGCCCCAGGACAGAAGGTGGTCATAGAGGAGGTGGTTCTTTCTTCACTGACACCAGCGGATGCTTGTGTCGCTTTTGCGTTGCTGTGGAAATGCCTCCCAGGAACAATTTAAAAGGGAAGATGTATTTGGGCTCCTGGTTTCAGGTTTCCAGTCTGTGAAAACCTCCGTTTCCCGCTGGTTCTGTTGCCCCTATGTTTGTGACAGAGCCAAAACGTCGTGACGGAAGAACATGGCCAAGGAAAGTTGCTCAACTCATGGAAGCCAGGGAGTAAAAAGTAAAAAGAGGCTAGAGACAAGGCACATTCTTCAGCTCCGAGGCCACGCTGCCTCCACTAAGGTCCGACCTGCAGTCCTCCCAATAGCCTATTCAAGCTTTAAATCCTTCGATGGCTTAAAACAATGTCCTTGTCAGAGTCCTCACACAAACACGGGAGGTGTGCTTTACAAATCTTCCGCTTAACTTTCAGTTCTGGTAAGTCGGCAAGATAGCTCAGCATAGGATAATTTATTAGCATCTGTGTTCAGACACATGCTTTAAAAATGCTTTAACTTTCCTTATTCCTTCACCTAGCTGATTGTTGTAGTCTCAGGCCCAGCTGGGTGGCCCTGAGTAGTGAGGGACTCACTCTGGCACGCCTCAGCAACAGGAATCCTAGCCTGCAGGTTCTCTTCAGGATCATTCTTTCCCTCTGCTGTAGGGAGTTGCAGGGATGACCAGAAGCCAGGCCCCATGGTGAGTGTGGGGTGCTCAGAGCAGGTCTGCTGTGTTGTCATTTCTGCTGGGACTTAGTCGGACCCTGAGCCAGACTGTGGTTCTGTTGGTCTTTGTGATGACCTGGGTGGCAGTGGCCCTTATACTCTGATCCTCACTGTGTGGGATTTTCTGGGGAGGGAGAGGCTCTCCAACCTTGACTTGGAGGACATGATGCTTATAATACCACTGTCCAGTGTGCTCACACGGGTATTGCTGTCGTGCACACTGGGAAAAC